ATATTTTGTTTCTTTCGAATCCTCCATTTTTAACACAGTTTCGATGGAGTTCAGAACTGACACGAACTGACTTATTACCACCCTAGATCATATATACTTACGTGGATATAGTACGTTGATATTAGCATATTTAGAAAAAAAAATTATAAAGTTTTGATATGTTGAGTTTATACGTACAGGGTGTCTCAATAAGAATAGCTCTCGGCTGTATCTCGGAAAGTATTAGCCGCAGCGGCTGCGGAAAAAAATATTTATAACTATCAAGAGGCTATGGGAAATTGCTGGAAATTATTTTCAAGTTTGTAGAACGACCGCTAGGGGGCGCAACTGCAACAAAAAATAAGAAAATAGAGTTTTTACACAATTTTGCCTAGATAAGGTGTACTATAAGTAACAGCTTCATAATATTCAGTAAATTTTGAACATTTTTTGTTAGAGCCATTTTCCCCTATCTACCAAAATAAAGTGGTGGGGGAAGGCTAGATCTGTTTTTATTTGAATATTAATAACTCTGGACTGGATGACCGGAACCCAACAAGCGATGGCTCGTTTAAAAGAGCGTTTCTTACTCTATATTGTGCCATATAAACAATAATAATAAGCTTTTGAACGTAGACGCTAGGGGGCGTTGTCTTACAATTTAACAAACATTGCGCGTTTTTTCAAAAAAATTAAACGCAATAGTATATGTACATATGTAATTTTAACTGATAGTAAAGAGTAGTAAAAGATTAAAAAGTCAGCGAAAACCGCATCTTGATATCTTCTTTCAAACCGAAGATATTAGCATAATAAATACCAAAACATAATAATTCCTTTTACAACAAGGGAAGGTTAGAGTAGTTAAAGTCAAGAGTATAATTAAGATATTAATAATAGTGAACAAGAAACGATGATTCAGTGAAGTCATGGTAGGCTTTGTAAAAAAAGTTGCTTTTGACATAATAGTATAAACGTCAAATTGTTATTAGATCAACGTTTTGATAGTCTGTCTTAGCAGCGTTTTTTATCTTTTGATTGCTTTTTCAAAATGCCAACAACTTCAACTACTTCCAATAATAAAGGCATTTTGAAAAAGCATTTAAAAGATAAAAAAAACGCTGCCAAGACTATCAAAATGTTGATCTAGTAACAATTTGACGTTTATATTATTACGCGAAAAGCAACTTTTTTCCAAAGCCTACCATGCATAGACTTAAAATAAAATATAGACTGAGCATCTCATTCATAAATAGCTGGAACATGCGGTCAGACACTGTCTTGTTATTGTTGTGTTATTGTTTTAGGTTATAACGAGTGCGACACGAGCGATAGATAGGTTGTCTCTGTCGTAACGGTCGTTCCCTGACGACTCTGCCGAGAAACACAACGCTGTCTTTCGTTTCTCAAGTACACCTGAACCACAGCTTACAGAATAGCATAGCTTTGACCAGGTGGATGACACTTCTTATGGGAGAACTGGAAATGGTTGAAAACTTGACTACAAGCGATTTTCTAGGAATCTTCCTTACCGATAAATTATTGACAAGAGTGACAGATAAAGCCTTGACGTTCTTTCAGTATTCCAGTTCATCTCTTTTTCTTTCGAAAGTGTGCGTTGAAAGGAGACAAAAACAATTTTTTGTGACCCATAATTTGTTATTCGAACACCACTTTTCTCCTTGTCGGGTCGTTGACGTTGACCTGTCGCCATTTTATTTCTTTTGTTTACACGCTGCATTTTGCTTTGCAAATTTAATACATAAATTATTTAGGCAAATATATAGGTTTTTAATAAAACTCCTCGGACTAACGTGTAGGTAAGTGTTGATAATTTTTTTTTCATCTTAACATGCTCATTGTCGTTCTCCTGATTTTAGGTGACAGAAAAGGATCATCAAATCAAATTGAATTTTATATTTTCCTTCCTATTTATCCTTCCTAAATATCAACGAGATGAGCCATCGGAAGAAAGGGACCATAGTACAAAACAGAAAGGTGATCTTTTTTCTTTCCACTTCGGATATTGAAATTATTATATACTGTAGTCGTGTTCGGCATTATGCTCTGAGAAATATAGATAAACAAAGAACAACAGATATAAAGCATCCCAGAGGAAAAGAGAGGCAATACCTGTATGTACTCTCTCTGATATTTGTGAAAGTTACAGCAAAGTATTGTTGTAAATGTCATCTTTTTGATCGACCTGAAAACTTCGAGCAAAAAGATGACACTTTCAACAATACCCTGACAGATATCAGAGACGATACAGGTTTTTCCTCTCTTTTCCCCTGGAATACTTTTAATTTATTATTCTTTGTTTATCTAGATTTCTCAGAGCACTATGAACGAACTCAGCTTGTATGTTTGAAATAATCGTCCAGTTGGCTTAAAAATGATGATCGAAGACATTTCCCATATAATTTTACTTTCAAAATTATGATATATCTTTTATTTCTAAGCCATCTATGACGCCATTTTTTTCAGTTTTGTTATAATTAATTTTGTCTCTTGATCTACTTGTAACATTATTCTTTTAATTTTATTAATTTATTGTGGTGAAATTAATTTCTGTTGTATATTTGATATTGATATTAAACATATTTTTAAAAAATGGTGTATTTTTTGTGTTTTTGTGTATGTCATAATTAAAAATAAATGAAGAAAAAAATTGTTTATTTTTTTAAACTTCCCGCCATGCGTGCCAATTTAGTCCGTAGTTCCTACAAGCGAAATTGGGGGCGCTAGTAGCAGTAGACTTGTCAACAGTGTCAAATTTAAACGTCAATTTCACTTTCCAATATTTAGCAAGGCGCTCGCACTTCTTCTTGTGTATGTGTTTTGTGGCTTTGACACTCGTCAATTTTTCCCACGCTCGAATTTAAAACGCCCCACTCCGACGATGCGCTAACTGAATTAAGCGACCGACAGTCAGCCTCATTCAGTCGATGCAGTCTCCACCGGTGGCGCGTAGGGCCGTATTACGGAAGATTTTAATTCGATTTTGTTTCTTATATTTAACCATAGGTATTTGTGCTTTTATTTCAATTTTATTTTTATTGATGGAATGGGAAAAGGTTTTCCGGGATGTGCGGCTGCTGGTTGCACAAATAATTATGGAAATAATTCAAAATATAGTCTGTTTAATTTTCAATTCAATTCAAAATTAATGTTCAATTCAAAAGTATATTCACACTTTAGTGCTTTTCAAAACGATGAAGACTACTTATTTGGAGGCTTGCTAATGCCAAGTGACCATTTTTTTATTTAGTTTCCTCATTGGAGGCTAGTTTTATAAGCTTTTATTTAACTTGCTTTGTATGTAACTATCTATGTATGTATGTATGTTTGTTCGGGGCAAATCTTGTAAGCTAAATTAAAACCACTTTCTTTTATTGTAGGAGATTGAAATTTGGCATGTAGGTTCAGTCCCGATGATAATACATTTTTTTGCAAGGCATGACCCGAATTTTTGACAGCTGTCAAAATGGCGGCATTTTTGAGGTTTTTGATTTTTTAAAATTCTATTTATGAATGGATCGGGCTGAAATTTATATATATATATATATATATATATATATATATATATATATATATATATATATATATATATATATATATATATATATATATATATATATATATATATATATATATATATATATATATATATATATATATATATATATATATATATATATATATATATATATATATATATATATATAATATATATATATATATATATATATATATATATATATATATATATATATATATATATATATATATATATATATATTATTATTATTATATATTATTATATATATACAGGTTGTTAACTCGACAGTTACTTATAGGGAAACAGAATGGCAACACTGCCTATTGAGAACGTATGCATTATTGATTTTTCTGCCGACTCGTCCCGTCGCGTCGTCTATCGACGAGCGGGCCGAGGTTATTTCAACCATAAAACTCTTGCCGCGAGTAATGAACAATTTAACAACCTGTATAGGTATATTGTGGGTATATACATATGAAAAAAAATATATGGGCGGCCATCTTGAAAAAATGACAGTTTAATGACATGTCAAAATTTCAAAGTCAACCGATTTTCATAAAAATTGATATATAGGATGGCCATGCGGCCATCGCACGTGCGTAACACGCGGTTCATAACGACAATTTGACTCGAAATAATAATAGCAATATGTGTGTGGTATCAATATATTCATAAAAAAATGCTTTTTCCAAATATGCTAATGAGTCACCCTTGTTCCATTTGAAAAAATTGACATATGTATGATTAAAAATACGATTTGTACATCTTTTAACCGGCCTAGACAAGACACGAAACCTATTAGACGATCAAAACTATTTTTCCAAGGCTCCTTGATTAAAAAAGTGGATTGAAAAAAACTGGATTGAAATTTAAAATAGGATATGTTTTTAAGCGACAATGTCAAAAGTTAGTCATATGATATGTCATTCTATTCAGAGTGTCATTTTTTATCGAATAAAGTAGCAATATACCGAGGGTGCCTTTAAAAATCAAAAGATGTAATCATTTCGGTGAAACAGGAAGAGACCAAAACAATTGAATACGTCCAATAAATCCCTAATTTATGTCATATACCTACTAACATAAAATCTGTTTTTTATCTGAAAAAAAAAAAAGTTATAGGGTGAGCCACTTTTGAGACGACCCGGTATATTAAAAAATATTGTTTCATAATGTAATATCATTTTAAAATTCTTGTATGTTATTTTAGATTCTGAAGATAATTTTAGAATAAACCGGAATATATTTTTAATAAAAACATTATTAATTATTAACAGGGTTATAATTATGATTTTGTTACAATGTAAGTAAGTAAATAATGTAATGTAAAAGAAAAAATTCAGATTTTACATTTTACTAAAATATTAGGTTTGTTCCATCAGCGGTCGCCGACAGTTAGCGGATGTCTCGAGCATGCGCACTAAAATTTTTCTGTTCCATCAACTTTGCGGACAAAAAAACTGACAGATTAATGATTGTTGTTCTCTGTTCCATCACGATGCCGAACCAGTTTCGGAACTGTCAAAAGTGTTACTGGACTACTGCAGAAACTAATTGTCATGCGGCTGCGCACTCTGCGTTTTAACAGCTGTTAACGTTAGAATCAAAATATATTTTCGTTGTGAACCACAGATAACAGAACTAATTTGTGAACCATTTTTTTACATAATTTCTGTATATTTTTGTGAAATTACCCAGAAATCAGTAGTAAGAATTGAATTATTTCTTTGTAGCGTCGATTTAAGTCTTAAGCTTTTTTTTTATAGAAATGGATGACAATGTTATTTTTGATGATGAAATTTTTGACATATCTACAGAGAGTGAAGCTAGTCATTCTAGTGATGATGATGAAAATTTAGAATTATTGTTAGACATTGATCTTCGCCCTAAAAACGCACATTATTTAGATCAAACTATCCCACAATACAGCAATGAGCTATTTCTAGAGCACTTTCGAGTAAGCCGACATGTCGCAATGTCTATAGCTGATAAATTTGCAAATAGTATTTATTACTCAGTAAATCGTTCAGGCCGTTACGGAAAATTGAGCGCTCAGGATGTCATTTACATATTTCTTTGGTTTGCTGGACATCAAACTGCAAGTTATCGAGATGTAGGGGATCGTTTTGATGTGACAATAAGCACAATATTTCGTATTATTAGACGAGTTACATATTTTTTGAGCAATTTTTCTCCGGAAGTGATAACGTGGCCAACCCAACTAGAAAAAGAGGACATTGCAGCTCATTTTAATAGGAAGGGGTTTCCTGGAGTAATTGGAGCTATAGATGGATCGCATATAAAGATTGATAAACCTTCAGATGACCCAGATTCATACATGAATAGAAAAAGTTTTTATTCCATTCAGGTAAGAAAACCTCTAATATTTTGTTTTTAGCAGGCTAAGTTAGTATTTTTAAGATTCAGGCAGTCTGTGACCACAACTTACTAATTCGGGATATCTATGTTGGATTTCCAGGGTCTGTACATGATAGCCGCGTGTTCCGAAATTCACCATTATGTGCCACACTACAACAAAAATGTGTCAACTTTCATCTATTGGGAGATAGTGGATATCCTCTTTTAACCAATTTACTAACACCATTTAGGGATCGTGGACAATTGTCAAGAGCTCAGACTAACTACAATGTTGCTTTGGCTACTAACAGATATATAATTGAACACTGCTTTGGGCTGCTTAAGCAGAAGTATAGGCAGTTGTATCATTTTAAACTTAGAAATGTACGTGATATAGTTCATTTTATTCGAGCTTGTTGTGTTTTGCATAACTTAGCACTGAAAGATGATGTGCCTTTGAATCAAAATGATATTGGACACCAGAATGAAGTTGTTTTGGGTGACCTTTGGGATAATAATTATGAGGATCCTGATGACATACCTGATGATAGAAATGGTGTCCAAAAAAGAAATGATATTGTAAATATTTTAAATATAAGGTAAATCTATAATATGAGACTACTCGATAAAATTTCTATTTTGTAGATTACGAGTTTAACTAGTATTCTTGTCATTATTCTCGAATTATGTATAATTTTTTAATAGTAAATGTTAAGGTAATACATATTTAATAAGGTATTAAGTCAATTTAATAAATGTTTAGTAATCACCAGAGTGTTATTTTACAATCAAACTAACTCCATACTGAATTAATATAATTCTATTATTTTAGTATCTTTAAAAATAAACGACATAAAACATTAAATAACATATATAACATTAAATAACAAATTATAATTATTTTTTACCACTGTGGAACACCATTTGTTGCTTTAACAACTGATTTCTTTCTAAAATTGCTGCCAATTTTTGTTTTTGAATTTCCATTTTTCCCCTTTCAATTTGTATTCGTTCTTTGTAATAGTGTTCTTTCTGTTCCCTTATTTTGTCCAGTATTTTATTACGATTAATTATCGTTGATTTCTGTTTTTTTCTTTCGTCACAGGTTACTGATGAAGTAGCTGTATCATCTAATCGGTATGGTGTATTATCACCTTTATCTGCAGATAAAATGTTTTTTTACTTCTTCAAGAGGTGTCCTACTGTTTGAATCTAGCAGAATAAGTGGATTGACATTTCTTTTCTTTTCAAATATTTTGTCCATTTCGTCACTAAATTCAAAGAATTTTCTACCGCGACCTGTTTTGTTTTTGTCTTCATTATATTTTTTATACGCTTTTTTTATCACAACCAAAACACGCCACTTATTCTTGCAATGATTGGCACTAAAACTAGTGCTCAATATTTTATTTAATTCAGTAGCAATAACTGAAAATAATTTATCTTGTGTTCTGATTTCCATTGTTCCCACTTTCTTTCTATACTTTTGGTATAATTCAATGAAAATTTTAGTCTTATTTGTGGTCCAGTTACAATTATTATTTTCTTCCCTTAGTACTATTTGTTCTTGGGCAGTTGTTGCCTGTTCTTCAGGCAATGTAGGCGGCTCGGTAGGTGGTACATTTATTAAAATAAATTCGTTCAAACCTATTAAAACACTGATATAATGAGAACCTAATTAAAGCGAATTTGGTAAAATCACTTACTATAATTATTAGATTCCATAGCAAATCTTTTAACACAACAATATTCTTCGGTTTACTAACAAAAACAAACGTTGATTTTAGGCCAGCACTACAACAGCAGGCACTTTAAAAAGTAGGTTATATTTACTTGTCAAATTTCGCGCATAGTCATTTGTCATTTGTTCCATCACAAAAAATTTATTGATCCAAAACTAGTCAATGTTAACGCATGCGCACTTTTGACAGATTACAATTTGTCCATTACCTGTCTCTAACTAGTCTTGTATTTCTTGATGGAACAAACCTATTATCTAAATAAGCGCCTTTCTACAACAACGCCACTGACTCCCAATGGGTAAATTGAGAGTTGCCTACCGGTTAAAAGTCGTTTCAAGACTTAAATGGGCTATTTAAGTCAAATTTCTTGCAAATTTGGCACTGGCGAACCATATTTTATAGTTTTTGAACAGAAAAAGTTAATAAAATAAACACTTAAGGACTACAAGCTAAGAAAATGCGTTAATACAGCCGGGGAGATAGCGGCAACAAAGCTTTACCGCACACGTGCGACACGTACTACAAGGTAATAAATGAATGAATAGGCTCCCTCGCCTCTAATCGGTGTTGTCATATTGTAAGAACTTATCCTTATTAAACAGTATCCGACTTATAATTTAGTAGTATAAGGACTATTTAATACATCTATGGAATATTAAAACCTACTTTATTAAACTGTAGTATTAATATCTCAATATATGTGTATAACAAGAAAAAAAATATTGATAATATTAAAGACGTGACAACATAGGCTGGACGAGGAAGGCTCGGTCGACTGTACCCAGAAGTAAAAATGTGTACAAAAAAGGTTGTTTGTCCGCGTTGAGATGTAAATAGTGTAGTCTATATTTTATTTTAAGTCTATGCTACCATGGCTTCACTGAATCATCGTTTCTTGTTCACTATTATTAATATCTTAATTATTAGATATTAATACATCTGATATTATGGTATTCTGGTATATCGTCGATTTTAAAATAAACTAACTGTTTCTATCTTATTTTTAGGTTAGAATGGGCATAATCAAGAGGGCTACTAATACCGTGTTGTAAAAGTAAGGTAATTAAGGGCTTATTTTTTGGTATTTATTATAATTTTCCTAATATCTTCGGTTTGAAAGAAGATATCAAGATGCGGTTTTCGCTGACTTTTTAAGCTTTTACTACTCTTTACTACCAGTTAAAGTAGCACATACTATCGTATTTATTTTTTTTTGAAAAAAACGCGCTATGTTTGTTAAATTGAAATAAAGCGCCCCCTAGCGTGTATCTTCAAGACCTTATTATTACTATTATTATGGTATACTATAGAGTTAGCCCTCGTTTATTGGATTCTGATCATCCAGTCCGGAGTTATTAACATTTAAATAAAGATAGATCTAACCTTCTCCCACCACTTTATTTTAGCAGATATGGGAAAAAAAATCCAAAATTTACTGAAGATTATGAAGCTATTATTTATAGTACACATGATCTAGGCAAAATTCTGTAAAAAATATATTATCTTATTTTCCATAGCAGTTGCGCCACCTAGCGACCGTTTTACAGACTTGAAAATAATTCCCAGCACTTTCTCATAGCCCCTTTAGTTATAAATATTTTTTTTGGTAAGCCCTACGGCTAATGCTTTCCGAGATACAGCCGAGAGCTATTCTTAGTGGGACACCCGGCACTAAAAGGAGACTTTTTAAAATCAAAAGAGTTCCTAACCGTAAAGTGTGAGCTTCACCCCCAAAAACCCCATCCAATACGCACTGCGGTGGTTTTTCTCGTTTTTCTCGAAAACCATTAGTCGCACAGAAAATTTTATTCTTGTCAAAATTACTTATAAAATTTGCTACAAGAAACGTTCTTATACTTATTTTGTTTTTTCGAATAAATATCGAGCAGCAAGCGATCGAAGTTAGAGGGGTAGTTTTCAGCGTAGATGATTTTTGACCTGACCTGATCAAATTATTTAATGTCAATGAATAAACACTTTAAGATGTTAAAATAATGTTCAATTGTTGCAATGGTAACAAAATTGGTATATTTTTTGAGTAATTTAAGCGATGAAGTAATTTAAGCGATTGCTGAAGCATTCGAGTCGTGACACTGTTTTTGAAAGCAATACCTTATTGGTCGAACAGAAAAGCAAATTCCTAGGCAATATTAAAAATAAAGAACGACTAATTTCGCAGCTTGCAATACACCTAAACAGCGAGAATATTAGCATATCATTTGCAATAGATGATGCTGATGTTCAAATTATTCGTACTGCCATCAAAATATCTGAGAAAAATGAACAAGTTCTAGTCGTTGGACAAGATGTCGATCTTGTTGTTTTATTAGCAACACTTTCCCCCGATGAAAAAGACATCCTTTTCTGAAAGAAGCCATAGGTAATGTGAAATAACGAATGTATAGAGAGATTTGCAATCATCCAGTATTATACGTAATTTAAAAAAAAATCAATTTTATTTATTCACACTATTAGCGGGTGTGACACAACATCAGGATGTTTTGGAAAAGGAAAACAACAACACGTACAGATATTTAAGAAAGAAAAAGACCTTGATCGTCGATATTTTTAACAACGCAAAGTCAACACCTGAAGAAATTGAAAAAGCTGGAGAGACATTTATACTGAAACTATACAAACTTCAGTCATCTGAAGGGAGCTTTAGTTTTTTTTTTTAGAGCAAAGATACGCTTGTTTCAATAAGTTAGTTGGTCAAGCAAACAGCACGGTAGGTTTATCAAAATTGCCTCCCACATCTGCTGCAGCTAGGCAACATTCCCGGGGAACATATCTTCAAGTACAAATATGGGAAGAACAACCTATAAAACCCGACCAGTGGGGCTGGAAGAAAATCAACAACACCCTGTCACCTTTATATACAACAGAATATAAAAGTTATAGGGACGGTTAGGATACACGTTTTAAAATTATTATAGAGTATACAGGGTACTTCAAAAAAGTGTGACGAATATAACATATGTTTTTTTAAATGGAATACCCTATTTTTTATTTTATTTTTAGATTCTGCGTAAAATTCCATGACTTTTTTGTATATAATGTTACGTACCTAAAATTAATAGTTTCTGTAATATTTAAATTTGTTTAAACAAATGTCAGATTGCAGTGTGATAAAAAATTGTCAGTAATGGCATTGTTTCTGAAGTTGGAGAACCAAAGTTTGGTAAGAGAATTTAATAGAGATATAGAAAAAGACTTATGTAAAGATATTTTAGTTAGATGGTACAGGGTGTTCAAAATATATTTATGAATTTCAACTATTTAAAATTAAGAAATTTCAAATTTTTTAAATGGTAGACCTTATATATTATCATTTTTTCTGATAGATTTTACAAAATTCTTCAACTTTTGTTAAGTATGTCATATACCTATTTTTAATAGTTTGCGATTTATTCCATTTTTTTTTCTATTTTTATCCATATTTTTAATACAATTACGCTATAACTATATAATATCATAGTTGCCATGACAAAAAGGAATAATTATCAAAATTTCTTATCTGTTAAGCAAGTTAAGAACAAAATTTGAATTTTAGTTTAATATGTTGTAATAAGTATAAATTGTAGAGATAATAGTTACAGATTTTTCTGAAATGAATTAGTCAATGTGACTGATATACAAGAACAAGCCAAGAAGAACATATTTTTTGGTTCAGTACTATATTAAATTATATAGTGCTTTGCTAAGTAGTATAAGAATAGATGTAAATTATCTAGAAAATATCTTCAGTGTGTAATGCGACGGTTTCACGGCAGTAGTAATATTGGCTTTACCAAATGAATTATAAACCAGAATTACTACGAGAAAAAACTTTACTGTATGTCGAAAAAAAATCCTATATTAGTAGTCTTCAACAACTAGATAATCTAGTATTAACAGGGATAATCCGTGGCTATTCGCCACCACGCGCGACGGAAAATTCAAGTGTCTTCTTTCATAATATGGAAATACACCAAGAAATTCACGACTGCGATTTTAGTTTATTTGAGTAAAGTTAATTAATTTCAACTAATACTAGCAATTGTAACTAATTATTAAGCTACTTGTTAAAGATAAGTAATAAATAGTTTGTTTTGTCATGGCAAATATGATTTTATAGGGTACCTAATTGTAATAAAAATATGGGTAAAAATAGAAAATAAAATAGAATAGAAAAAATTGGAATAAATCGCAAACTATTAAAAATAGGTATATGACATACTTAATAAAAGTTGAAGAGTTTTGTAAAATCTATCAGAAAAAATGATAATATATGGGATGTCCCATTTAAAAAATTTGAGATTTTTTAATTTTAAGTAGTTGAAATTCATAAATATATATTGAACACCCTGTATCGTTTAACTAAAATATATTTATATATATCTTTTATTTCATCTCTATAAAACTCTCCTACCAAATTTTGGTACTCCAACTTCAGCAACAATGGCACCACTGACAATTTTTTACCACACTGAAATTTAACATTTGTTTAAACAAATTGAAATATTACAAAAACTATAATTTTAGGTATATAACATTATATATAAAAAAGTTATGGAATTTTACGCAGAATCTAAAAATAAAATAAAAAATAGAGTGTTGCCTTTAAAAAAACATATGTTATATCCGCCACACTTTTTTGGAGCACCTTGTATACTCTATAATAATTTTGAAATGTGTATCTTAACCTTCCCTACAACTTTTATATATTTTTTTTTGTAAACCTCGAAACAAATGAGATAATGGACTTTACTCTATCGTTGACTCACCCTGTACATGTGGTGCTTCTATCCTTGTCGAGGACCTATCGTCCACGCGCCAAATATGAATATTAATTTTAAAAATTTAATTTGTAAAATGCATATATTTGAACAATAAATTGAATGTTTACTGTCACAAGAAATTAAATTATTTAAAAAATGCATTTAGCCAAAATAATATAAAAAAATATTCGTTCGGAAACGAATATCAATATTCTTAGGAAATCTAACCAGAAAGTATGCGTGAGGTTTAATATAAATAAAAGAACAACTGAATACTTTACTTGCATATGAAAAGATAACTGGGGATAATGGTTTAAGTACATATATATTTTTTAAATTAATAATTTAAGAATTATCAACAGAAAATTTGATTTCTTATATTTTTAATTCATTGAAAATAATTTAAAATAACCTTTTCAAAAATATAGCACACTTGATATTTTGCTCTTTACCTCTTCAAGATATAGATTTTATAAAAATTCGCGCACTTTAATAAAAGAGGTTTTGACCGGCGCGGCGCCGACTGTAATGCAAAAAAATCTAGCTGTGAGCAGCAAATAAAACGAAAATAATATTTGCAATGAGAGTTGGAGAATTATAACAATTTAAACTATATTTAACAACATCAACACATTTAACCCATATCTAATAACAATAGAAATAAATAGCAAACCAAGACATGGGATTTTACTACAGGTGTTCGACATATCAACCGTCTTGTATTATGGACAGACGGGACGGACCGTTTTTGAACATTTTCCGCGGAATGCATTAACTTAGAAGGGGTGAAAGATACCCTCGCATAACCGCTAAGTACTTCTAATTCTTGTCTAGATTATACAGGCAATTTAAAAATAAGAACCTTTATTCTTCCGCAAAGATAAAAATCCATAGGCACTAAGTTCGGTGACCTCGACGGCCAACGGCTGGGATCGTGGTCAGCTATTCAATTATTCTCGAAATTGGCTGCAAAAATTTGCCGATGAATTGAAATCAGCGTTCTGAGGCGATGCCTCGTCTTGCGGGAAAAATATGTTTTCGAGTTCCATTAGGGGCAGATCATCAAGGGGTTCAAAGCGTGCTAGTTAAAAGTGGCGAACTTTTAAACATTCTGTATTTCGAAGGGGACTATAACAAAATATCAAGTGTGCTATATTTTTGGAAACGTAATTCTATGTTCTTTTCAGTTAATTAAAAATATACAGGGTGTCCCAAATAAAAAAAAAACAATTTTCTGTTAATAACCCTTAAATTTTTAATTTAGAAAAAATTATACTTAAACCATTAAATTCTACGTAAAAGGTGCTTTGGGAATGTTTTCACAAAAATACAAAATTTTCCATAGCAAAAAAGTTTTAACGATTTGTTAAAAATGCAGATTTTTTATAAACACCCCGTAACTCCGAAACCGTAACAGATACCGATGTGCAGTTTTCACCATCATGTTTTTGATTAAAATTGAGCTCCAACACCGATATTAGTTTTCGTCTATCTTCTATAGAAAAGTGTGATTCCCTTTAAAAACTTCCCAATTTGACTCACCCTGTACAGTGCGCATTTTGGTTGAGATCAGAGGGTATCTCCGTTATTAGTGAAGATAGAAGGGTGCGGTTTGCACAAACCTGTCCCACTTTTTCGTCAAACGGAAGATGCTGCAAACAAAATTTTCATAGCCCTCTTCATTTCTGAGCTACAGGGTCTTTTCAAAAATTTTGCAATTTAGGACACCCCCTGTATCTCTGTTATTGTTAAAGGTAGGCGAAAGGCGAGAAGGCGAAAACTGCTTATTGTAGAACTTTTTACATAGAATACAGTGGCATAGTCTGTTTTTCTACCAAAAAAATATTTTTGAAAATATGAACTAAAGTTATGTTTTTTCAAATGGAACGTGTACCCCAAACCCTGTATATTTATAAATCATATGATCTGTCTTGCTACGAGCTTCTCAAAAATATATATCACTCTAGATTTATTTTCACTATTTACTGCAATATTTAAAATATATCATTTTCTTATTAGTAGGCCGTGATAAATAACAAAAAATCAAAATGGTATTTACTAAAATAGTCATACACATATTAAAATTTATTTGGGATTAATATATTTTACTTTTGAAATAACTGTTACCACTGAAACTGTGAATATATTTTTCTTTTTTTTAACGGGATGGGTTTGCAAATTCTAAATCTTGAATTATTAAAGCATTTTTCAGGTGTTCGACATTGTTGTAGTGCCCACGATATATTTCGTATTTCAAAAATCCCCAAAATCAGAAATCGAGAACGGCGAAATCCGGGAATCGAGGAGGCTATCAATATGCGTTCATTGGTTCCAATTCATTGATTTGAAAAATAATAATTTAACAGTATTCTAATATTTCCATAGTTATGAGGGGGAATGTTCCCCATCTTGCTGAAAGTATATTTCACGTAAATTAGCTAAAGGAATATCTAAAATTTCCGATACGATAGATTATTCTTACGTATACACGTATTCCAAGATTTACAAATAGCGGTAGAGAGTTAAGTTTCCCTAATATATAAAGAATTTATTAGCGGCTCCCAAAATAAAACAAGAGACAGATAGCAGTATACTTTTAATAATTCTT